AGAAAGAAGGCATGTGGATTCCTGTTAAACCCATCCATGGCGCCTTCGTCATCAACATCGGGGATATTCTAGAGGTTATTCACGAATTCGATCAAATATTATTTTCAGGACTGGAAATCAATGAAAGATTATTTAGTTTTCTTTGGTTTATTTATTTGCAGATACTGACAAATGGAATTTACAAAAGTGTTGAGCATCGAGCAGTAGTAAACTCGGAAAAGGAAAGGCTTTCGGTTGGGACATTTCTGAGCCCCAGACTTGAGGCAGAATTGGGTCCTGTTCCAAGTTTGATCAACCCTCAAAATCCAGCCAAGTTCAGGAACGTGGGAGTTGCAGATTATTACAGAGGATTCTATAGTCGAAAGCTGGATAGTAAGTCTTATATAGATGTTATGAGGATCCAAATAGAAGAATGTCCTCAAGCTGTTAGTGGAGCGTGTTAGAATAAAATATGTGGTCCAGATTCTTCAGACTATTTCACTTTTCAACTTCCACGTATGCATGCTAATCTCATGATTTCCTAATTCCTATAATTTTGTATTTACCTCTCATCCTCCTATGTAATATATTTGTTATTTCCTATATTTTGTATAAATAGGGCCTTGTAATAGTTTTTAAAATCATCCATCTTATTCCAATCTTCTATGTAATAATTTTACATTTATATCCATTAGATTACACTAATCTCTCATTTTGTCTTTTTCTTCCTTTATTTAATTTAATTTCTCTTTTATTTTATATAATTGAAAAATTGATATTTCTTCTTTTCCCCCAAAACCTTTTGTCACTTTTATATTCTCCCATGTTATTTTAACTTCTTTATAATTATCAATTTCAGTTATTCGCTTCCGTAGTGCTTGTTAATTATCCTAACAAGTGATATCAGAATGATTTAACTGAGAATTACTTTCAAAGATGTCGACTGTCACCAAGTTCAATGAAAAAATTAGCTTTTCTATCTGGAGGGTTCAGACTTCATATGGAAGCCATTCTAACTCAAAATGGTTTGAAGAAAGCACTAGACGAGATAGTTGGTTCCATCCAAAGGTTCAATTCTTGGTAAGTCTGACATAGTATCTAGATTTGGGGCACTTAGCTTAATTGGGAGTATGATGGTAGTAACTTAGGCTCCGTTTGGAAAGCTAGAAAATGACTTCTAAAAAATGTTTTCTGGAAAATGAGTCATTTTCCTGAAAATATTTTCCTTTATGGTATTTGGCTACCCAATGTAAAACTGTCTTTGTGCGTTTGGTTCATTTTTCAGAAAATGAGCAGGAAAATGAAAAGAATTGAATACTTCAAAATTTTAATTGTTTGATATTTTTGATAAAATCCTTCCGTGAATAGCACTCATAAGCCTTGTGGATAATTTTGAATTATATGTATATATATATATATTTTGGTTCCTGTGAGGTCAGGTCTTCCCGTGTGGTCAGTACGGCATACATCATTAGGTATGCATAGATACACCATACAGTGTTCGAAAATACACCAGAATGAAATGTCAAAAAATACACTACACAAACAAAAAAAAAATACACCACACGTAATGGTGTATTTACGAACACCGTGTGGTGCATTTATGCATACCTAATGGTGTATGCCGCACTGACCGCACGGGAAAACCTGACCTCACATGAACCTGACCCTATATATATATATATATATATAGATGTGTATTCAAATGAGGACAAGTATATTATAGAGGACTATGAGGACAAATGTAGTGTGTGCCATTAACCGGTAAGTCGTGTGCATGATCGAATGTAGTCGTGTGCCACAGTTTGTATGACGCGTAAAAAAAAAGTTATTTTCCTTCAAAACATACTTATTTTCTTTTGACTAAGACATCATTTTCCATCAGGCCCGGCCCTGGGCAAGTGCAGGCTGGGCCCTTGCCCAGGGCCCACCTCTAGTTAGGGGCCTATAGGCCATAGCTATACAGTATAATATATATATATATATATATATATATATATATATATATATATATATATATATATACACACACACATATATGTTATAAAAAAAAAATTATTGTTTTGCCGTTACGTTGCTGAGTACCGACTTTACGATTCAGTCGAAGAATATGAGGAGACTGGAGTGGAGACGCAAACTCTGTCACACCCACCGTCCACCCCAAGCGTCGCCAGGCCTTCTCAAGTCTCAACGGTAAAAATGGAGACATCAAATCCATCAATAAAAGCTCAGAAGTTAGAATTTAGAATCCACTTCAATCTATCTGCAAATCCACTTAGAAACTGCAATCTTTCTGCAAATTCAATTACACTCACCGGCGAATCAATTTCACTCATCGTGACACCGCCTCACCGGCCCTATCTGGTATTACCATTTACCAATTACAAAGGTATTTTTTGATTTCTAGTTTTACTGCCCTAAGTGCTTAGTATGCAATGAATTGGAAATTTAGAATTTGTTTATTGTTTACTGTAATTAGAATTAGGATTTAGGATTGTTGGTATTTTGTTTATTGTAATAGGTTTATTGTTTACTGCAATCAATTAGGATTTTTTTTTTTTATTTCAATTAGGAGTTGTTTATTTTGTACTGCAATTAGAATTAGGATTTTGTTTATTGTTTACTGCAATCAATTAGGATTTTTTTTAAATTTCAATTAGGATTTGTTTATTGTTTGCTGTAAATAGAATTAGGATTGTTGGTATTTTGTTTAATGTAATTAGATTTGTTTATTGTTTACTACAGTCAATTAGGATTTTTTGATTTCAATTAGAATTTGTTTATTGTTTACTGCAATCTGCAAAAATTCTAATTCAATTCTTGGTGTTTTATTTTACCGTTTATTGTAATTAGAATTAGAATTACTGTAACAAAAAATTAAATTTCAAATGTGTTTAGTAGTTACCTAATAGAATTAGAATTACTTAAGTATAAGACTTGTAATTGACATATTATATAATATCTTTAGCACTTTGCCTAATATAGACAAATTTAAGTTGTTGCAGGAGGAGAAAGTACTGCATTCTCACCAACCCTGATTTAAGAAGCACAAGAAACTACTGCCTACTGCCTACCGCCTATTTGTAAAATGTTGAAATTTTTTAAATTTATTTCAATTTAGTTGACAATGGTATTTTTTTTTACTGAGTTAATACCATCTAAGGTCCTTCGAGTATAGCGATTTTTTCACGTTTAGTCATAAACTTTCAAATTGACCACCTGTGGTCCTTCGACTTTCAAATTTAACCATTTGTGGTCCAAGTTAACCACTCATGGTCCTTCAACTATTAAATTTTAACCAACCATGGTCCTTCCAATAGGACCACGACTGGTTAAATTTCGAAACTTGAAGGACCATGGGTGGTTAACTTTGACCACGGATGGTTAAATTTGAAAGTTGAAGGACCACATAGGGTCAATTTGACAGTTTAGGACTACACGTGGCAAAACCACTATACTCGGAGGACCTTAGATGGTATTAACTCTTTTTTTTACTTGTATATAACATTTAAAATTTACTTATAAAAGTTTAGGGCAGTAAAACTATAGGCCCTTTTTTCTCACTTGCCCTGGGCCTATAAAACTATAGGACCGGCCCTGTTTTCCATTATCCTTATTTTCGCCCCTCTTGCCAAACACTAAAATCTCGGAAAACATTTTCCGGAAGTCATATTACGAGTTTCCAAACGCACCCTTAGTTTGAATCACTCATAAATTGTTAAAGATATCAACTACTAACAAAAAGTAAATGATGGTTGACGTTTGGAATGGAAGCAGAACAAAGTTGTGCCGTGTTATACACTGCCTTAAGAGTGATTTCCAGTGATGATGCAATAAATTAGAACTTGTATGTATGTAATTTGTGTATGCTGAGACTGTAAAGACGGGATGAAAGAATAAAGATAAGCTGTGAGGGAAGATGTTGTTAGCACTTTGGATGATTTATGAAGCAAAACGAGACTGCTATTCATACTTAGCTAGCAACGTACAAAACCTCCATACAATATTATCCACTCACAATCACGATACTACACCCACCACATGACATGAAACAATGGTCACCACATGTAATTGTTAAGTAACGGACACCACATATCCTAATCAGACGCACACTGCGGAAAATTATGGAATTTTGGACAATCAGAAAGTGATCTTAAATCAAGTTGAAAGCAAAAAGTGATCGGAACAGGGCTTTATACTTGATTTAAGATCACTTTCAGGTAGTCGAAAATTCCATAATTTCCAGCAGTGACAATACGTGGCTAAGGAAGCTTAAGTTGGGACCATCAACATGAATTAACAACATTTTGACAGTCCAAACCTTTCACTTAGCATTTTATACCAAAGTTAGATTTAGGGTGTGTTTGGTTCAATGAGTTAGACACAAGGAATGAGAATTCAATCCATAAATTACGTTATTTGGTTGATAAATTTTTAAAACACAGGTATAAGATTTTATTACTATTACAAAACTCATTACCTAATTTAAATCAGGTATCCCTCATTTTATCGTTGTTCCCAAAATTAAAGGTTGAATCCTCAACCCCGACTCCCTCCCACACTGCCGCTGGTGAGACTCGATCCCGGGTCATTGTTCTCAAACTTCGCCCCTGTGACCAATTGAGCTGCCCACCCAAGTTCCACTACAAGAAAAATAACTTCCATCTTCTCCAACTAATGGCTTCCATCGTCAATGTCGCGCCCTCCTTCGCCAGTTTTTCGCCACCCCGTTCTCCATTGGAGCAGAGGAAGGTCACCGGTCACCCTCCATGGCCGTCGGTCTTCGCACAGCAGGGAAAGGTTGCCGGTCACGCTCCGTTGACGTCACTCTTCGCACAAGGTCGCCATTGGTCGCTGCTACTGAAATCTCCGGTCTCCATCGCAAGTGAAAGGTACGTACAAATATATTATTGAAACCCTTGTGTGGTATCTTCTTGATAATTTGATCTTTTAGCCGTTTAGGCAAATGGCAACCTCCAAATCCAGGAATCAGGTAATTTCGATCTCCCCCTCTTTTGATTCCATGTTGTTTTACCATTCTGGTGTTTCACCTAAAATTGTTTGCTGATCTGTGGGTACTGTTCTTCTATTCTATTATGGTCCTTCCATTGTCATTCATTGCAAAATTGTACATTGCAGTACTGAGTGGACTTCTTAACTCCCTTATCCCTTGTTCTCATTTACTCTTTCCAAAGACTATCTTTTACTCTATTTTTCCCTTTCACTGGGGGGAAAAGATATAGAAATGTGGAAACTGAACTTTTTATGCAGTTCTCTTTCTCTTATTTTGAGTAGACCCTATAAGGAAAGTCAAAGACATGAGCCATACAGGGATCATTGAGTACTGTAATAAGGAATTTTGGACAGTGCCAAGTTTGAATGATTGGCCCTTAGCTTCAGTGATTGCAGGTTGCAATTATGATATCCCAATCAGGAAACTATTTGCTTTGTTCTCAATGCATCTTAAAGTTGCTCTTAGTCTGTAATCTTGAAAAATGATGCTAGTGCCTTAAGCACTGGATTAATTTTCAATGGAAGCTTGATAAATAAATGAACACTGCTTGTTCTAAGACGCGATTTTTGTTGATGACAGGCTAGTGGGTTGAGTGGTGGTTGTTGTGGGGTGAGCACATATGCTGATTCGAGTCCTAACAACGTGAAATTGCTCGTGGGGATAGCAAACGAAATACTGAAACAGAAAAATGTAGAATCTATTCTTTTCGGTGGCAAGAGGGTTGGAGAGCAAAGCAATTCCGAGAAACTCGACTAGTTTGCTACAAAACTTGTGCAAGAGCATTAGAGGAGGAGTTGCCGTATAGCTCCCACTGTTGCGTTCAAGCAAGCTTCCTTGAAGGCTTCCCAAACAACGCTCAAATAATCAAAAACTAAAGATATAAAAAGAAAGTAAGCTACACCCACTCCTCTTTACTTTACGGTAGCATTTGTTTTCTTTACCAGTGACCAAAGCATGCTGATATCAACTAGATCCCATTATGTTACAAACTGGAACAAAATCATTCTCTTCAAGTATGTAATGCAATGTTAGATACACATCTCTAATTTCATAAATTCTGATGCATTTTGGGGGCAGCATTATTCTCGTAGAACCAAGAACAAGCAGGATGAGGCAACAATAGGAAAGTTGGGGTAGAAAGGAAGCCCCTAGGAAAGAATTGGAAAGTTGAGGTTATTTAGAAAGATACTTATTTCAGTTTTTGGAAACCTATTTCCTTATTTTATAGATACTTTCGTTATTTAGTAAGTTGGAATATTTTAGCATATTACTTAGCTAGTCAGCTTATTTAGTTTATTTCCTATTTTATGAGTTGTATTTTACCCTATAAAAAGGGGAACCAATTCTAATAAAAAGGAAGCAGAATTTTTATCCCAGCAAAGGGAATTAGGGAGTTCTGGGGCCTCAAGAAAACCCAGATCAGTTCTATGCTATTTTCTATCTTATTTTCCTGCCTGTGACGATCAGTTCATAACAAATTCCTAATTCCATTGATCCCTAAATTCTAATTTCATTTTGCCTTAAATTATTGCATTTATGATTTCTTGATTTATATAAAATTTTCTAGTACTGCAAAGCTTGATATGTGTTCTCTTTGCTTTACTCATGCATTTACAGAGTATGCTTGTAAAGAATGTTTGTAATCTAAAGAAGCATGAAGTTGATTGAATTCTCAAAATTGATATTGTATAACAAGGATATATAGATTGGAGGTAAGGATGATGTGTCACATGTGGCTTTTTGTTCTACAACTTGTAATCATTTTGCTTTTTTTGCTGATAGTGTGTTTGGAAATTACACTTGTTCCTTTAACATAAATTGTTGGATTATATGAGAAAAACATAAATTGTTTAAGCATATGCTATTGTGTTTTGGACTATGCATTTTGCTGCAATGTGAATCTATGCCAAGTCATCCAAGTAGAAAATATTTTTGAGAAGTCAATAACTTATTAAATTATTATACCTGAAAAATAAGTTCACATACTGATATTTACTTTTATTTGTTACTTGGTGTTTTTTCTATTTTGCAGCTAACTATTGTGCTAAAGAAAGAGGACATGGACCAAAGAAGAGCCAATGCAATGAGTACTGACTGCTATGCTGGAGGTTTGGTTAAGATGAAATTTAATTTGTTTAAAAATCGCTTTATAAATGCATGAGAAAAATGTTTATCTTACCAATTAATACTTTGCTTTAGTTTATCTTATGTTTACGCCATATGCAGAAACATGATATTTGCAGAAACATATCATATGCAAAAACATGTGCTTTATGAACTAGATGCTGATATTGACCACAAGGAGGAATATAACCATGAGTGGCGTGGGAATATGTAGAGAGGTGTTTTCATTTACATCAAACTGATGCTTATAAATGTATTTCTATCTGATTGCTTGCACTAAGGTTAATTCTCTTCTCAAATATTTTGCAAATTAATTTCAAGTGACTTTTTCTATTCTCTTATCTTGTGGTCAGGTTGGCATGCATATCAGAAAGTGGGAGATCAAATTTAGTTGGCTAGATGATGTAAAATAATTCATGTTGAATCACTAATTCACTGACTTTTATGTTTCAGAATTGTCTATATCTATTAATTTCTTTTTGTATAGGATTTAAAATAAAAAAAATAGTTTCTTTGCCTTTGGTCTTTACAAAGTTGTATGAAACATTTCATTTTTGTAATGAGATGAAGCCTTTTAATATATTGATCGAGTTTACTTTGATAGCATTATGGTAAAAATTTTAATTTTTACCCACACAATATCTATAGTTACAACATAATATCTATGATAAAAAAAATGTATTATAAAAATTAATATTTATTGAGCAACAACAATATATACAAATTAAAATTAAAACAAAATAATTTTTGACACTAGAATATAACATTTAGTGACAGGCAAAATCTATAATGAGAGAAAATTTTGTTAGTAAATAGCAATATTAATGACGAGATTCTCTATCATTAAAAGAATAGATGAGAGGAAATTATGTTAGTGAATAGTTGTATTAATGACGGGATTCTTCGTAACAAAAAGAACATTTTAGTGACGGTAAATATAATATCACTATATGTTCACTAATGACAGTATCATATACCGTCATTAATTTTTTTTAACCGCGGAAGATATAACGACGGGTGGCGACGGTAAATTTCCCGTCATTAAAACTGTTTTATGATGGTTTTTGATTCTTTAGTAAGGGTTTTACTTCTCATTAATGACCAATTTCTTGTAGTGTTCCCTCCTCATTTTATCGCCTCCTCATTTCGTCGCCTCCCACTTCATCCACTTCCTCACGCCTCCCACTTCTATCTACTTCCTCACTAGTGTTCTAAAAGCCTATCAACCAAACAATACCAATCACTTTGATACCCTTTCTTTAGAGCTAAACCTGTCAACTAAACACACCCTTGTATGCATAGAATGAGGCTTTTTTGAGGTATACCAACCACTTTCCGACAAGAAATTAACATAAAAATTAACTGTTAGATATGTCTATAGTCTAACAATTGTGTGAATAAACTTAAATACGAGGAACTTGACCTCGTAACAGCAGAAACAGAATCAGTATTGATCTCCAACCATAGTTGATATCCTCTCGTAGTATGTTGCCTCTTGCCCTTTTGAATGGTAGACCTGCAGAGTTATGTTAGCCGTTTTGGCTCATACTTGACTTAAAACCCTAGATAGTGTATTGATATTTTCTTAGCAGCATGAGTACTGTAAACTGAATGTGCTATATAATGTATATCCTATATCCCATCAATGTAGGCTCTATATTAGGCATTGAGCTAGTTTGGTTAGCTAAAAACTTCAAGTTATTCAGTCCAACCAAACTGCTTAGTAAGCCTAGTCAACTTGCACCACTTAATTTAATGTCCTAATATATAACATCAGGGACGGAGCCAAAAAATTAATTGAGTGGGGGCGAAGTTTAAATTGCGATAGAAATGTCAATTACAAAATATTAAACTGGCATAATAAGGTTAAAATACAAAATACTTTATAAATTACAATAGAATATTTTTAATGCGTTTCGCCCCCACTGAAAAAAATTTCTAGGTCCGCCACTGCTCACTTGGTGCAAGTACTGGCACAACCGGCCTTCATCAAAGAACAAAACATACTCATGAATCATAGCGACATGTCCTCTATTTAACAGAGTAGTATCTTCTATGCATCACATGCATTTTGATTCTCCAATTTTAATTTTTACTCACACAATAACTATCGTTACAGCATAAGATCTATGATAAAAAAATGTATTATAAAAATTAATATTTATTGAGCAACAACAATATATACAAATTAAAATTAAAAAAAAAAATTGACAATAAAATATAACATTTAGTGACAGACAAAATCTATAATGAGAAAAAATTTTGTTAGTAAATAGCAATATTAATGACGGGATTCTCTATCATTAAAGTAGGTGCACTTGTATGTATATATATATATATATATATATATATATATATATATATATATATATATATATATATATATTTTATATATATTATTTATATATATATATATATATATATATATATATATATATATATATATATATATATATATATATATATACAATATAAATATACATATATATATATATATATATATATATACATATACAATATATATATATATATATATATATATATATATATAGAGGCGGGTTCAGGTGCGGCAGTGTTTTACGGTGCGGTTATTTCTTACGGTGCGGCAACACCAATAGTTCACCAAATATGCACCATCAACGTTAGGAAATACACCACACAAAACAGAGTAAACAGAGCCCTACATCACCAAACACACACCATTAGGTGTGAGTAAAAACACCATACACTGTTCGGAAATACACCATTGGGGGTGGTGAGTTATATGGTGTGTTTTTTTGAGTATGTGGTGTATTTTGTGATGTTTTATTACATTTCATTGGGGTGTGTTTTTATTATACTGTTGGTGTATATTGTTAACACTGTTGGTGTATTCTGGAATTTGACCGCACCGCCGCACCGTAAGACCCCGCCGCATATGAGCGCTCTTCTATATATATATATATATATATATATATATATATATATATATATATATATATATATATATATATATATATTGAAGTGATCAACTACTTGAGGGATTTATTGACAAAAAGAGTGTTCAAATCACACAACAAATTGAAGTGAGAAACTATCTCGCAATGTCCTTGGTAGGCAATCAGCAGTTAGCTCTTCAATATTAGTATATATTTAATATTTTATGCCCTAATTTTTATTTGCTCTCCATTATGTCCCGTATTTGATTTCAACCATACCTATACAATTATTTTATTGAAAATTATAATCAATCTTGACTATATTATCTTGCATTTGTAAACTTAGAATTGCCTATTTAAATACGCAAATTTAACATTCAATTATCTGTGCATGAACAATTTCAATATAATCTTGCCTTGATATACTTTAAAGTACTTATTAAAAAAAAACATTGGGCATTATACCAATCGCGCAATGCGCGTAAAAAACTAGTACTATATATAAAAATAAAATCGTGAAATTTTAACTTTCCGCCCAATTCCTAAAAAATCTCTCTTCCTAATAAAATATATTGATTTCTACTTTCCCATTCGTATAATAATTCTGCGTTTAAATTATATTCTAATATTATAAAATAGTGTAATACAATCTATACTATATATAAAAACAAAATCCTGAAATTTTAACTTCCCGCCCAATTCCTAATAAATCTCTCTTCCTAATAAAATATATTGATTTCTACAATAATTCTGGGTTAAAATTTTATTGTAATATTATAAAATTGTGTAATACTATTCCTATTCTAATCTATATCTATTTTATATATCAGTATTGCAATAATCGTGTCGTTGGTCGCGGCGAGGAAAGCTGGAATCGGCCTCCTCAGCGGCCGCCTCGCCGGCTGAACCGGCCTTTAATTTTATTTTTTATTTTGAAGTTGTAAAGTGTCAAAAGTTTGGCAAGGCATAACTTTTGACTCCGTTGTCCGTTTTGGACAAATGTTTTTTTGAAATCGCGTATTTTTTCGAGATCTATCCACCGCAAACTGCCGTAGGCGGTTTGGCCCACCAATTTCAAAAAAAAAAAAAATTTATTAAAGAGTTTCTAAGAAAAAACTATGAGAACCTTATGTTTTATTAATGAATTTTTAAAATTTTTAATTAAACAATTGTCCCGTGCATTATTTAATAATCTTTCTTTATATTTGGTCAAATTATTTAATTATGGTAAATTTGGGAATAATTAATGATGGTAATAGAAATCCTAGAAGAATATAGAATTGAACAATATTTAATTATTGTTATATTATTATTGTGACTCACGGAATACAAGAGTTAATGACATTTTTGGTCCTAGACTTATTAGGGCATTGACACTTTTCATCCTCCATAATAAAAATTGCCACTTAGTAGCCACTGTTATTGATCGTTGGACAATTTTGATCCTCCGTCAATGACGTCGTTTGTTGACCGTGAATTAGAAAGGTTTTTCTGTCTTTTTATGTTCTAATCCTTGTATTTCTCCATCCATTGGTCACTGCTACATCCATTTCTTCAAACTGAGGTTATCCGCTTCAGTCCTTTCTAACATTAAGAAACCATCTTCACCCAACTAACAATCACGAATTTTACATTTGACATCAATCTCAAGATAATGGAAACAAGTGCAGTTGGAATAGAAAGGGCGTTAGTCCATGCCCGTGGAAATTTTGTCGAGCATACAACATAACTAGCAAAGTCAGGAATATCACACAACCCCTCCCTTAACCTTTCTGCATCAACTATAATAGGTATGCCCCTACTCTTTGTCTCCTGCACTACAATCAAAGCAGTCTCATGCAGCCTTCCATCTAAGTAGACAATATTTACTCCAAGCGCTGAAGGCAATTTTGATTTGGGTATGTAGACCCTCAGATATCATGGGTGGATATCCTGGAATGAAAATGCACGTGCGAGGTTTTTTTTTTTTTTTTGGTTGTCAACAATGACATATGTGAATGGTGAGTTTCCTCCTTTGGACTTCACCATAAAAGATGTATCAACACCATCCCTTTCAAGCTCATCAAGTATTCTTTCGCCATGCGAGTCATCAGCAACCTTAGATATGATCCTTGGATTAAGACCAAGACGAATTTTATCATCCGGGTTTTATCAAAGCATTGCCAGTGTTACCACCTCCTTGAACCTCAAAGCTGGTGCTCCGAATTTTATCATCCGGGTTGGGGAATGAAGCTACAGCAGCCAGGAAGTCAACACCGGCCATTCCAACACCTCAGACAATGCGATTTTTGGGGAGCGGCGGATTCCACATTTTCAACTTGAAACTTCAATGAATTTCAGGGAGAATAACAGAGTTTTTGAGGTTGTCCACCAAGTAGTTGTGGTCAAAGAGAGAGAGAGAGATGGGAAGGATATTTGTGGTCAATATGGAAGGGAGGACTTATAGGTGCAAATTCTAGAACACGCCATCTGCCACTACAACTGCTATTTACCATAGGAGGGTTCGCCGACCTGCTGCCCTCTCTGCTTCGCCGGAACCAAAAACCACCGGTGAAGGCCCCAACCTCGCCGGGTCTGTTGC